GTGTCATCRATTTCAGCACTATAAGGCAGCCCCAGCACAGGTTTGTCCCAATCCACCTTCATTTGTGGTTCAGTGTGACCCAGCTAAGTGCTAGAAAGCGTAGTCCACCCCCAAAGCCACCTGATGGGGACAAATTAGGCCMAGATACAGCGTCATGGTCGTTAGCCAGCTCTGGGAAGAACCATCATGAATTGGGCAGCCCCAGGCTCTTATTCCATGCTGGTGGTCAAGAAAGCTGCAGTTCTGTGTTGCATTCTAATGCCTCAGGCTGCCAAGGTCAACACAACACTGGAAAGAACCAAGGTCACAGGGGGTAACTACTTATTGCTGAATTGGACTCTGTTGGCCCAAGACTGTTGAAATTGAAAAGAGGTGCTGAAGAATACAAGTCTGATATATCAAGGTTATGTGTCTTTTTCTGGCCCCAGAGTTATTCCAGAGGCTTTGCACAGCCAGACCTTGGGAAATGATCTTTCTCACGTGTCCAGTCATAGCGTTTACCAGACCAGCATTAAATTCCAGGACAAAATCCTGAACTAACTATCCTGATCCATCCTCAGGGAATGAGGTCTTTCTCACACTGTGTGGTGTGAGGTAGGGGTAATTTGGGCAGTCCATTGTCCTCCTAGGTTTATAGTGAACTGGGCTGGTGGCAAATATCACAGTTGCTAAGACCTGCAAAGTCTCAGGGGGGAACTGAAGCCCATACTACTTGTAGCAATGGTGCAGGTTAAAACTGAGTTTCTGCAACTCAGATGGAAGTCTCTCCTTGAGGCCTGAGGGTATCTGTGTTTTCCCAAGATTTTACACCTTTCTCAGTAGAGGCAAGTGTCATGGCAAAATACTTGTTCTGTACATCTCAATTGCTTCACCTCAAATTCAACTAAGAGGTACAACCTCTTCTAATTTTAGCTTCTTTCTGGTAACAAAGAAGATAATGATGTTWTGTCATCTTCATAGGATTTTTAATAACATTTTAAAATTACATATAGGAAATGAAAGATAGTTTTTACCAATTATCTGGGATTTGATGTGTTAAATATTAATGTCTGGCACTTACATAATTTGATACAGCATGGGTAACTAAGTGGTACTGAAATAATTTTCTTGGTTCCAGATAGTCTTGCCCCTGTTTACTTAGGCAGAATATATAATAGTTCTAGATAATGGACCATAAGATTAATTATTATTAATATTATTAATGATAATTATTGAATTATAATTAATTATTACTTGTCATTATTATAATAATACCATTGTTGTCTGCAGATTGAGGCATACACAATATTCTTCAGTTGTCTTTTTCTAGCCCTGATAATCAGYAGGCTTCCTGTTTAGCAGKTGCAGCTATAGATATGATGCCTGCCTTCATAAACAGGCATCTTTGAGTGAGACATATTGAGAAAGCCCCCCACTTATTCATGAAAAAAATGTAATGGACATGAACTAGCATAAGATATCATAAGTGAGATGCAAATCTTTTAGAGGTTAAATAATGCCCCCTTCATCAGAAACTAATATCTGATATCTCTAAATATMAACTTCTAAGACTATGGCTTTGCAGTTGTAATTAAATTTAGTGTAGAACAATGAGATCTTAATCTGGGTTATTTATTGGGCCCTAAGTGCTGCTTCCAAATCCTGATAAGAGAGAGGCAGGAAAAGTGGTAGATTAGGTATTTGAAGGTCTTGTTACTTCACGGAAACAGACCTKTGAAGAAAGTAAACAGGCTGAGAAAGAATGTAAAATGTGTAAAAATCAATTTTGTTACAATTTTGAASGGTTGTCTAAAAAATTAATTCAATGATGAATCAATAAAAATGTGACTTCAAATGATATTTAAAGAAGTCTTTGTCAACTGCCAGCTGACCCAAAGGAAGAGAATATAGGCATCAAACCACACATGATAAACAGTCAAGAAACTCATTAAATACAAACTATGTCCAGAGCAAGCAACAACAAAATTTTCTTGGAAAGTGTGAAGAATTCCATTTTCAGAGTTACTACAATATAATATTTTAAATACATAGTTATTAATGACAACAAATAGATACGAAAGAAATAAGAAACAGATTAGTAGAGAATTTCTCATCAGAAATCCTGAAGGCCAGAAGAGAGATACATATTTAAGATTTTTGGAAAAAAATCTAAAATCTGACCAATCAGTCTATTCTAAGGAAACTTTCCCTCAAGAAAGATAGAGAAAATAAAGCTTCTAAGGTAAATAAAACTTGAGAGTTGGTCACTGGTAGAGCTGCCCTACAGGAAATGGAAAAAATTATTKCATCCTAGAATTTAAAGATTCAGAAAGTAACTAAAAGCCATATATGATCATCACGTTGTACAGCATAAATATATGATTATTGGTCAAGAAATAATTAGAGTATATTTTATAATAAAGTAAACAGTTAAAATTGAAAAAGAAAGAGAAATTTATGGAGGTAATTATACAAGTAAATAAAATATAAGTATTTTTGTATTTTTGTTTATAACTTTAGTCTATGATACATGGCTTTAAAATATATAAAATATTTATTATAAACCCATGGTATTGAGTACAAAGTATATAAAAAGAGATGAGGTATCAAAAATTTCATGAAGTTGTAAGATGTAGTCAACGTATTGCAATTAAACTTAAAGTTTAATTATTTTATTCATTTGTTTAACAAAATACTGAGARTGAACTATAATATAGGCTTTATTCAGGCTCAGATGATCACATTTGAATAAAAGAGATAAGTCACTGTTCTCAYAGAGTTTATATTCTTGTTGGGTAAGATAAATAAGAAGCCAATAAGCAAAGCCATCATAGGTAAGTGTCGAGAAGGTACATGATGATAACATAGTAGAAAGGAGGCAGTCTATAGGGTGAATGGAAAGTGACCAGTTTATAAAGGTGACCAACGAAGAACTCCATGACAGGGTTAGATTCTGCAAAGACCTGGGTGGAAATGAGGGCATTCCTTAGAGGGAGGACCTAAGGCAAAGGTCCTGAAGCGTGGCCATGACTGGAGTTATGGGAAGACAGCAAGGAAACTGGTGAGGATGAAGTTGGGCACAAGATTGTGAAGGTGAGAAGGTTGGAAAGATGATGCAATAGAGAAAGGAGGCACTTCTTACTTGTCCTGCTGCTAGAAATTTGAATAACAGGAATAGCACTGCATAATGACTTTATCCCTTTGGGGAAGGGAATAAAATGGTTCTACTTGTGTGTGTGTGTGTGTGTGTGTGTGTGTGTGTGTGTGTGTGTGTATGAATTACCAATTTATAAAAGCATTCAGTAGATGGGAGGAAGGACAGGGGGATCTGGGTGGGTGGAAAAGGGGAGGGAGAGAAGTGATATTGGGGACTAAGTGGAGTGAATTATATCCCATGAATGTTTAGTTATATCAAAAYGAATCCCACTATTATATATAGCTATAATGTACAGAAAAAAAACATAAAAATGCTATGAATGTGACAAAAGAAAATATGACTAATAAAACAAATAAACAACAACAACAACAAAAATRGGAAGTACTGATGTTTTCACAGCCTTTCTGGAAAGAAAAATGTACATCAATACTAGGTTTCAGTGTACCTTATAAATAGTCTGATAAATTGTCATATGTGAATACATTAAAATGCTTTTAGTTTTCTTCCATTTTTCTGGTAATCTTGCAGTTTTATCCCTTTAAGCATTAAAATATGAGGGTTTTGGTTATATAAAATGACAAAATCAAACAAATATTTGTTTACCTGAGAAGCTAGCTTTATATATCATTTGTAAAAATGTGCAAAGAAGAACATTCTTCATTCAATAGTATATCTTTTTTTCCCCTCAAAATAGGACTCTTAGAATAATAGAGAAATAAATAAAAATATTAGATATAATTTTATTTTAGCACAATATTAAAGGTTAAATGATTTTTAAACACTATTAGTCTGGGTTCTACAGACAAACAGAATCAACAGGACATGTAGAGACAAGTGAGATTTTTATGATGGGTCTGGGCTCACGTGACGAAAAAGCTAAGAAACCCGTGCTGTGCCCTCTGCCAACTGGAGAACCAGGGATACTGCTGGTGCAGTTCATTTTGAGTTGAGACTTGAGAAGCAAAGATGTGATGAGTGTGTTTTAGAGACTGAAGACCTGAGAGGCTGTAGCTCTGAAATCCAAGAGTGAGAGAAATGGATGTTTCAGTTGGAGAAGGAGAAGGAGAAGAAGGGATGAGGAAGAAGGAAGAGAAGGAGGAAGAGAAGGAGCCCAGGGGGAAGAGGAAGAGGATGAGGAAGAAGGAGGAGGAGAAGGAGAAGGAGAAGGAGAACAGGAAGAAAAGGGAGGAGGAAGAGGAGGAGGAGGAGAGGAAAAGAAAGGATAATTTGCCTATTGTACACTATTTTGTTCTACTGTGAGCTCTCCATGGATTGGATCAGACCAAAACACAYGGGTAAGGAAAGACCATTGCTAAGACTACTGATTCAAAAACTAGGGACAAATCTCCTCACAGACACACTCTGAAAAATGTTTTACTTGTTGTCTTATTATCCCTTAATATAGTCCAATGGACAGACCCCCACCCCACCCCCCAAAAATTGCCACGAGCAGCCACATCAAAATCAATTCTRGCAAATCTGCCACACCAATGCAGGTGTATGTTGTCCTCACAGGGCTGCCAATTCCACTTCTTCTCATGGGCCTCTGTGTTCACTTGGTTTACAAACCCATGGACATGTGGAAGAAAACTATTGCATGGAAAACGGATATACACATCAATATCTTTAATCAGTGATTTAATAAGCAGGCCCCAAGATATCACAGATATTGTTATCTAGGTGTTATTTTTATGGACATTAAATTTTTTCTCAGATGAAAAATTTTTTCAAAGGTAAAGGTATTACTTTAAGAAGTTGAATTCAGTGTGAGTTTAAAATATGATTTGTTACAAATGGATAAGAAATCACAGGGGTGAGGACACATATTGTGAATCTCAAAGARTTAAAATCAAGTTGGTAAAGATTATTTTGCCTTCAAAAAAATCTTTGAGAATGCACTCTTGACCTCCTTGTTCCTGAGGCTGTAGACCACAGGGTTCAGCATGGGGATGACCATGGTGTAGAACACAGAGGCAACTTTGTCTGTGTCCATGGAGTGACTGGAGCTGGGCTGTAAGTACATGAAGATAACAGCTCCATAGAAAATGGAGACTGCAGTGAAATGAGAAGCACAGGTGGATACAGCTTTTCGATACCCTGCAGCTGAGTGCATTTTTAGGATAGTAATAAAGATAAATAGATAGGATACRAAGATAAGTAGGAGARCAAAAAAGATATTGAAGCTGGCTACATAAATAAGAACCAGCTCATGGAGATGTCTATCAGAGCAAGACACAGCCACGACGGCTGGAATATCACAGAAGAAATGATGGACCACACTGGACTTACAGAAGGTGAGACTGAACGTGTTCCCAGTGTAGATGGAGGCATTCAGGAAACCACAGATATAGCAGCCTATGACCAGATAGGCACACACACGTGTCGTCATGGTGGTGGTGTAGTGCAGGGGCTTGCACACTGCTGCATAGCGGTCATAGGCCATTGAGGCCAGGAGGTAATTTTCCACATTGGCACATAATGCAAAACAGAACATCTGAGCAGCACAGGCATTGTAGGAGATGACCTTGTCTCCTAGAAGGAGCCCAGCCATGACCGTGGGAGTGACAGCTGAAGAGTAGCAAAAGTCCACCAGAGACAGGTTACCCAGGAAAAAGTACATGGGAGTGTGGAGACGGGAGTCCAGGAGGATCAGCAGGATCATCCCCAGGTTCCCAGCCAGAGTGATGGTGTAGATGAAGAGGAAGGTCACAAAGAGGGGAAGCTGCAGACCTGGGTCATTGGTCAGTCCCAGCAGGATGAACTCTGTCACTTCTGTCCTGTTCTCCATTGGTTACCTGAGAATCACTAGATGCTAGGTAGCAATGAGGACAAAGGAAGAGAATGGCAAAGGCATTGAATTTTAATTGGGGCAGATAAGTACAAGATATATTCTTGCATTATCCCAGTAACTTGTTCTTTTAGGACTCCTTGAAAAACACATTTCTTCTTTAATTATACAGTGAGTACAAGCTGTTGGATCTGAGAAATCTTAATAGGTCATCTACTAAATTTAATCATCATGTATAATTCCTAGAGGCATTTTAATATTTTGAAGAAAATGGCTTGTGTGGGTGAATCTGTTTATCACTCCTCGGCTCAGTAACAGCTGACACAACCATGTTTCTCATCTGCCAACAACTGCTGTAGACACTTTAGATTTTCATCTTTGTTTCCTCTCAACAGTCTTATGGGTTTAATTGGTGTTCCATTCACTTACATTACGAAACACAAGAGGTAGAGCCCTTAATACGTATTCACACAGTGTTATTTGTCAATCACTTGCTCTGGACCCAGGTGAATTTCTAACCTAAGCTGACTGGTTCCTAAATCTCCTAGTCTAAAATGAACATAAAAGAGATTAAACTTAATTGAAATTACAATCACTCCTCATCTCATCTACTGTGTTTCAATCTCAGTGTTTGATATTTCATAAGTGAAATAAATAGTGAGTGATTGGATGTAAATTTCATCTCACTCATACTGTATTTGCCTCTCATTGAAGTCCTCAATGAATTAACAAGATCTAAATTGCATTGTGACCTTTTCCTAACTCTCTCATGCTTATTATTCTCAGCATATCTGCATATGTTGACTATGAGGACTATGATGTGGCTATAAGCATAAAGTGTGATTAGGCTGAGGAAGAATTTAACTCTTTCTGATTTCTTTGTTGTTGTTCCTGGGGATTTAACCCAGGGGCACATTGCCACTGATCTATTTCCCAGCTCCTTTTTAAATGTTTAAAAATTTTTGAGATAGTATCTCAATAATTTGATGAAAGCCTCCCTAAGTTTCAGAGGCTGTCCTTGACCTTGAGATGCTCCTGCCTCAACCTCCCAATTTGCGGGGATTTCAGGTGTGGACCACTGTACCTGGCAGAGTTTACCTCTTGAGTCACCATAGCAAGTCTATGTGCAGTGGTGGGATAACTGGTGGGTGGGAGCATGTTCAGCCTGCAGAAGCAGTTCTGAGAGGAGGTGTATCTGATACAGCAAACCCAGAGCTGAGGTTCCTAGAAGAGACACATATCAGACCTACTGTTTACCACCAGGGTATCATTGTCCCTAACCTAACTCTCCTGAACATCATGTTTCCATTTGCAAAATGAAGACAGTATTAAGACCTATTTTTAGGTATTAGGAAAGATACTGTGTAAAGGACAATGGATGTTATGTGTGTCTGGCAAGCAGAGCCTGGTGAGTGTTGGTTATATTATCATTAGAATGTAATTATGGTCTTTATTTTTTTTATTCATTTATTTTGGCATAGTCAGAGGCAGAGGTTTATTTAGAAAGATAGATACACATTCAAGGGAGAATGCAGGCTGCAGCCCTGACTTGGGCTTGGGGTCCAATATTTATAGAAGGGCTGGGTCAGTGGCTGGATTGGAAGTGCATTTAGKGTGGAGCTGCAATTTCCCACCAGTTTTTCTGCACTTGTGTATTCCCCTCATTTTACAAGGGCAAGGACCAAGAGTGTGAGCCAAGGTTTGCAACTGTGTTTTCTACACATCAGTGGCTTGATTCTGCATTTCAATGGCTTGTTTCTGTATTTTCTCTCCTTTTCCTAGATCCCCATCTCATCCCCCCACCCCAGACTTTGGTCCCTTAATCTTAAGGGCTGGTGAGGGGTAAAGAAGATCATGGTTTTTAATCGTGGTTTGATCAGGTTGGATCAGGTTGGATGCTGACTGTCAGGGCCTCTGTACTGGGTGAGTAGAAGGCTTCTCTTCTAGCCTTTTTCCTGCACAAGGGCCTGTGAGATCTTTTGTGCTCTCCTGTGTTTCTCAGGCTGTTCTTACTTTAAGCACAAGATTACTGCTCCAAAAGTTCCATGTGAGCGACTTAAAGAAAAAAAATTCCCTATAAACTAGTAATTTAGATGGGGTAAAAAGTCCATTCTACTTAAAAAATTATTCTTTCTGTCATTACTGTGACCAGGTGGCCAAATCACAGAGAGCAAGAGTTGAAAATTCCCTATTGAAGGGCTGTCTTTAGCTCACAGATCTCTTTTGGTGGCAAGTCTACATCTTAAAACACATTATTTGAATATTTTCTTGTGTTGGTAACAGTATTTAAATATTCTTTAATTGAAACGAATTTTGGGGAAGCATATCTGTCCAATACTACTATTCCCTACTTATTTTTACTAAGACTTTGGTTATTTTCACTTTGTGAAGACATGAGGTTGGTCTAACTTAACATCTATGACCACTTTTAGCATGTACCATCTTCCAAAATCAATAAGGGTTTCACATAGTAGTGTGTGTATGTGTGTGTGTGTGTGTGTGTGTGTGTGTGTGTGTGTGTAGGCTCTCTCACTTCTGTGTGTATGTAGGCCTATGCCAGGTAGGGTTACTCAAATGATCTATCTCATCCCCTGGATCTCCCTTTTATCAAAATACAAGATTGAAAGCTATCCTCAATCTAATAACAAGTGCTTGCTTTTAGTCATGGCATTCTTAATGACTGCCGATATGCTAGTAAAAGTCAGCCTGAGATTATGTGGGAAAGTTTAATATGCAGGTCGGAGTTTATTAGTTTGTTGAGGAACCTTTTCTAGTTTAAAGAAGTATGATTTCACTTTTCCTGATTTTTGTTTTTGTTTGTTTGTTGACCTCAAATGAGAAGTAAATATATAGTGAACAAGACAAAAATCACCAGCTAATCAATAAGAACATTATGTGTCTCATTTTGTGTGCAGATTTTTGGAGAAATAAGTACAATGTGTCWTTAGTATTACAAAATCACCTATGATGGAAGCTTTGACATTATACCCCCTATTCACCACGGTTTCTCAGAGAAATGTTAAAGATTTCTCATTCTCTTTTTAAGTAACTCTAGGTAAGCATAGCTGCCCCACTACTGTTGCATGCATTACACTTCTCACTGATGATGCTTTTGGAATGCAGAAGCTTACCAGTTTGCTGCATGAGAAAAAAGTCSATCCAGAAGAGTCAGTGTGGAGGCATCAAATCAGCCAGAGTATAGGATAAGTCCCAGTAGAGCAGTTCTCATTCGGGTAGTGGTCCAAAGTTTCCTCATTCTCTTAAGAGAGGGAAAATGGGAGGAGAGATCCTTAACATAGATCAAGTTCCAAATCCTCCCTGCAKTCTTTCTGTTTCCTGGAAGAGTCACCTTTTTCTTCCTTATTTATAAAATAAACATGACAAGATCACTCGTCTCTCCTAAAGTCCCCACATCAATTCTGTATATAATCAATAAAGAAGGTCTGTAGAACATCTGGTGAAGAGATTACCATTTGAAAGTCCGTCTATAKGATTTCTTTTTTTGGTGCTTTCCCTGACCAGGTTGAAGACTCACAGTAAATCCTCAGGCGAGAAGAAGGCTCTCTGCACTAACAATGCTTGGCATTTAGGTGGGTAAGCAAGGACCAATGGAGCATTGCGTGGAGTGAGCTCCTTCTAAAACACCGTGATTCTGAGTCACACGGGGATTACAGAGAGTGATACCTGGATGCCAGGAGAGAATTATAGAGACTTGGAGATCTCTGGAGATTTTCCCCATGAGACCATCTACAACTCCTTATCCTTCTTTGGTAGGGAAGAAGCAAATAAACTGTCTGGAGGGATCAAGCTGATTATTATATTTTTAAAAGTAAAAATTTTAACTGATAAATGAAAAACAAAAAATGTCCAAAAATAAGATATTAAGAGATGTTTGTATAAATGAATGTATTGCACAATGTTTTAGAATATACACCTATCTCTTAAAGCATTTGCCATTTCTTTCTTAATTGGTATATATTAATTATACTGAATAGTTGGTATCCTCTGGCATATTCGTACATGCATACAACACATCATTATCCAAAGTACATGCATGAAGACATGAATTGGTATGAATGTACTTTGTATACAACCAGAGATATGAAAAAWTTGTGCTCTAAATGTGTAATAAGAACTGTAATGCATTCCATTGTCATATATAAATTTTTAAAAATTAATAAAAAATTGATCATGCATTGGGTTTTAAGAATACTTTTATTGATGAATCATRATTATATACGATAGTGGGCTTAATTGTGATATAGTTTCACTTACACATAGTGTAACCTGTTGCATTTCATTCTCCCAACTTCTCTTTCTCTCTTCTCTCCCTCTAACTAGTCCCCACTCTCTACTGTTCTTCCTTCTATTTTCATGAGATACTTTTTTTCCCCGAAATGTACTCTAGCTTTCAAATATGAAACAAAACACATGATCCTTGACTTTCAGAGTCTGACTTATTTCACTTAACATGATCATGTTCTCTGATTTCACCATCTGCCTACAAATGGTATGATTTTGTTCCTTTTTATGATTGAGTAAAACTCCATTTGGTATATATACCTAATTTTTATACATTTACCCATTCACACACACACACACACACACACACACACACACACACACACACACATACACACACACACACACATATCATTATAAGTCTTTCCACTTTAGTTCTTTTGGATAAATACCAAGAAGTACTATAACTGGGTCGTATGATGGATTCCATTCCTAGTCTTTGGAGCACACTTCATACTTATTTCTATAGTGTTGTTCTAATTTAATCTCCCACTAGAGTGTATTCACTAGCATGTTCAAATTTTCCACCTTCATAAATACATTAAGTCAATTCCTCATAATACAGTTAAAACAATAACTAACTCTCTCTCTCTCTCTCTCTCTCTCTCTCTCTCTCTCTTTCTCTCTCTCTTCTTATTGTGTTGAGACTCTACCCAAACCAGATGTTATAGAGTTTTGTTCTGGTGGAATAGAACCTTAAAGATTAAATT